ACACACAAACACATACACCCACTCCATAATCTGAAACTGAATCCTATTTTACATGTGATCACCACACACACACACACACACACACACACACACAACACAACTATCTCCAAATCCATCCAACCATTTGATTAACTACTTTCGAAGATATCTATAATTGTGTTATTAGTTTCTCAGCAGAGTAGACAAATTTTGGACAAGCCAGTTTTATCCATATGCTGACAAAGTTTAAAACGTTTGAGTTTTTTGAATTACCATTTTCTTGGAGCTATCTTTTCAAATGATTCTTGGGTAATGATTTAAAGGATACACTCTGTCATTGCTGCAACGTTCAGTTTGTCAATATCAGGTGAACCAGGGCAACACTTCTTGAATTCTTTTCGAAGATCAAAAAAGGAATAGAAGCATTCAGGTAATAGTACATTCTGAGGAAGGACAAGGTAGATACTGTTAACTAGGTGAATTTGGTTCAACATTTCTCTCATAATTAGGAACCTGAAAATTGAATATAAGCACATTTTACATTGGAAGAAAATTTAATGTAAGAGTGGCTTTATTTTTAAAAGCTGGTCCTGTTTCTGTATTAGATCCTATGTAAAAAGTCTCATGAAATAAAATTCCTCTTAAGGCAGTGGATTACAATGTTTGTGCTCCAGTATGCATTCCATTCGACACAATTGTGAAGCTGTGATACATTTGGTCTGTTATACTTTATTATTTTCTGGCTGGTAATATTACTCTTTTTTCCAGCCACAACCATTTTAGAACATCGGTATTTTCAGGCAGCACTGGCAGCCCTCTCAGTTTTCATACAGATGCGGAATTAGATTGTAAAACTGGGTAATTCTAACTATTGGATTCTAATAATGCATATTTTTAGTAATAACTGAGATTAGAATAGCAAATTCCTGATTAATTGCAAAGGCTTATTTTGTGCCAAATAGTAGTCCCCCACATTAGTCTTCTTGACCAATATTGTAGCTACACCTGTGAACTCAAATTAGACTTCAAACAAAAACAAACTCACAAATCCCAAAGGCAAAGGAGAAATCGTTACCTGCTGTTCTTAGCTACTGGTACCACTACTCTGGGCTACTAAGCAAAACTTAACTGTATGGACAAATATTACACTATTGTTTATTATTTTAACAAAATAACCCAGAATTAGTTAACTCTTAATTTTTCTCTGGATGTTTTCCTACACCCAAAGCAGTCCACCTAAATAATGAAAACAGCTGCTTTCCTCTGACCCAAAAGGAAAAGATTAAGTCTTGTCATCTCATGTGAGTTTGGGAGGAAAAAAGGATGTAGCAACTAGTCTACCATTTACTTTTTAAAATTCTTCCCCTTTTATCAAATAATTACCAGGACTCCTATAAAAGGAGTGATTTTCTGAAGATGTAAGAACTTGAGTTACTCCTTTCAAACTTTTAAAATTATCATAATACATTAAACGAAATAAACTCTGTGCCTATAAGCAAAAATAAAATATTTGCCTATATCATAATTTGTTAGTATACGTCTTTCATTGTAAGCCTTGCCTCATACAGGTACCTAAATATATTCTACTTCCAGCTTCTCAAGCTCAGTGCCTGCCTACCACCTAAAAAGTTACAGCTCAAACTAATTTAAGTTGTTAAGAGAAAGTGTATTAGCAATGATTGGCTACACTGGGTGGGTTGTCGCTGCTGTTCCTTTTCCGATAGCTCCTCAGTATTTATCCTAGGGAGAGACATCACATTTTACCTATAGCAAGACTGTATTTCTCTCACTCTGTAACCCTCTCAATGTCAGAAAAACGAGCAAAGGTAAAAGATAAAGCTGACCCTTTTGTTTTGATGCAAGAATCAGTTTTGAACACTTACTTAAAATCAGACAAAGTGAAGTGTGCTATGATTGTGGTTTCACTAGATGTAAAGTTGTCTTATTTAAGTAACCTTTTTAATAAAATTAGAAATACAACTTAAATTTAAGTCTTTTTTCCTTCCTTTCTAGGAGATAGCATCTTCAACACCAACGGGGATGTTATGACGTACTAAAAATAGTTCTTTCCTCTCTATTTGTAGTTATTTTAAATGTCGAAAATTCACACTCTGCATTAGCTTTGGAAAAGGGAGAGTGTTATGCATCTTGAAAATTGGATACAAACAAGACTATTTTAAGTCACCAAAGAGTATTTTTATATAACACCAAATTTACCATTTTAATAATTTTTAAGAGTATGGTTCAGTAAAACATTAAGTACATTAACATATTTTGCAACCATAACCACCATCCATTTCCAGAGCTTTTTCATCTTCCCAAACTGAAATTCTGTACTCATTAAATAACTCCCATATGCACCCTTTTAAAAACAGAGAAACTTGAATAAATCAAACGTTTTTTTAAAACCTCCAGTCACCCCAAAAGTCTAACCATTTTTTCCAGAAGCCAGCACTCTTACCTTTTTGGAAGCCTCAGGATGCAGGATTTGCCTGATATGAAGCTGCCCATCCGTACAGAGACAGAAGGAAGTACCTACTCCAATATTCAGTTCATTGCTCACTGACTGGTTAAACTGCAAGGACAAGAGACGCTCAGGGATGAAACTGATGCACGATTTACAAACCCTGCCAAGTAGCTGCCTTTGGTGATAGCCAGAGAAAACCGCCATAAGGGCCCTGAGGGGGGACACCGGTGCTGGTGCAACCTTGGAAAGACAGACTCCTTTCCCACAAACCGACTAGCTTCCTCGAGGTAGGGAAACTTTCCAACCGATCGGCAGTTTGCGCCCAGGAGAAGCTTGTCAATGCATTCTCCCTTCTGTTTTAACGAGAAAAATTCATTCTAGACTTAAGTCAGATGTCTCTTTTCATCAGTAGGTTGCCTTCAGATTACATCATTCCCTAGTGTTACTTTTTATATGTTTGGATGTGCTAGGCTTAAGAAAGATAACCAACTTCTAATAAATAAATTCGGTATTGGGTATACAGATCTGGAAAGTCTTGGATGAATATACCCCAGAAAGGATGGCTTTCGCCTATAAATCGAAGCTCGTGCGCTAGGGGCAGAGGTCGTGAGAGCGCAGGGCATTCATCTGTGCACAGGTGTTTAGCGCCCCGCCCTACCCGATCCGGCACTCGTCAGCACCCTAGAACAGCCGGTTTTTAGGTCACCTCAGTCCTAATAAGGGGATTCCATCAGTTCCGCAGTAACCCAACGGGCGGCCCTGCACCTTCGGACCTGAAAAACCTCCCTAGCAATGTGACCAAGGCCACTAAAGAAAGAATGATGGGACCGAGCCTTTCTTTGGGAGTTCAAAAGCCTGAAACCAGGCAGACACCTTCAGGTTCCAACCTAAACTGTGCTACTTCTTGGACACTCGCCGGGCCCGCCTGCGAGTCTACACCACAGCGCCCCCTGCTCGAAGGCCGTAGACCCAAACCTAGCAGGCGACCTGCGCGTCTGGGGTCTGAACCTGGAGATGGGGGCGCTAGGATTCAAACTCCGCTCGTCAATCAACTGGCAAAATGGAGCTGACTCACTGGCTCCAGAAACTACTCAGGAAGCAACACGAAAACTAGTGAATGTCGGTCCCAAACCCCGGGGACTGGGAGGTGAAGAGAAGCAGCGACCCCCGCCCAATCGGTGCGCCCCAGCCCTCAGGCTGGACTCCCACCCACGCGGCCGGGCGTGTTGCCACCGTGCTCCGGGAACACGCGTGGGCCCGGAGAAGGCTTAGGGTGCGGTGGGGTTGGGCCCCGAGCTAGGGTGGGCGGCGTGGCCCGGGGCTGTCACCTGTCGGAGGGCTTGGTCCAGCTGCGACGCCGAGGACAGGCTTTCGACGTCTATTTTAGTTTCTTCTTTGCAGTCCTCCGTCAGTTCCAACTGATCCGGTCTAACTAGTACTTCGTGCAACTGTCCCACCTCCGAGGGGAGAGAAGCAGGGGTCAGTTTCCCTCCTCTCTCGCTCCCGTGCTGGGGCCGCCGCGTCTCTCTAGGGGTCCGGACGCAGAATCAAAGCTCTCCACTCGCCAACGGCTCCTGCGGCCGACGCGTTTCGGCCCCCCGCCCCACCCCCACCCGATAGGTTGGAAAGGCCCTGAAAGTGGACCCCGGGCCTCCGAGACCCCACCTCGTCTTGGCGGGGCGTCCCCCGACCGGCAAAGAACCCGGCTCAGTAGCGCTGGCCTCCCCACCTGAGCCAGGCTGCGGAAGACTGAAATGGCTTCAAGGCGGTTAGCCAACAAGCTTGGTTTTACTCTGGCTTCCCTAGGCCTCGGGTTCAAACTCAACAAGTGGGCAAACAAGAGCATTTGTTTATCTTCCTCCAGCCCCCTCCCCGCCCAAACCTCTACCACAAACTTCTTGCCCCACCCCTTGCATCTAGAAAAAAAACGTGGAGAAATACCTTCTTGTTGGCCAGATCCACGACTTTCCAGAACAGGAGGATCAGCTCCTTCTCATCCGAGCCTAGCTTGGCCCCGGTGGCCCCAGCAGTGATCCCAAAAAGCACAACCAAGTAATCCGGAGAGGCCGTCATGACGATAGGTGGGGAGGGGGAGAAGGGGGGTCGGGAGGCGGATAGGTGGGGTGGGAGTGAGAACGAAAAAACCTGTACTAAACCCTCTAATAAGAGAAAAAGAAAGAGCGCCCACCCCCCTCCTCGCTGCTGCTGGTGCAAAAGGCGGTAACCAACCACCCAAGCCCACACCTGGCCGGCGCTCCACACCCAGGGCAGGAAGGGGGGTGGGAAGGAGGGGGCAGGAGGCCAGCCCTTTTTGTATTCAATTGCCCGGGCGTCTATGCAAAAAGCCTGGAGCAAGGCTGCACCCCCGGGAGGCACGCAATGGCTGAAAGCTTTTCTGTTTTGGGATGTGGCTCTACCTGCCCGCCCCTTCCCCCTCCCCCACGTGGTGCAGGTAAGAGACACCTGGCGGCGCCGGCCCATTGGCTCCTTCAAACCACGACGTGGCAGCGGTGGGGGAGGAGGCCGCTTGGGGAGGGGGAGGAAGGGGCGGGAGACAATAGCAGGATGAATGGAGAGGCGAGGGCGAGGGAGGAGGAGGGGGAGAAGGGAGGGGCGGGGAAAAGGCGGTCGCCACCCCGAGGGTAGCCGAGGCCAGACGGGAGAAGGGCTCGGAGAGGTAAAGGGCGCCGAGTCGCTGAGGGGAGGGGTTCTCACTGGAGGTAACCGAGAGATGCGGGGGCTTGGAGAAGACCGGCTGCGGGGAACGAAGCTGAAGGTTCTGAAGCGCCAAGCGAAAAGGCCAGGTGCAAGGAGGCGAAAGGAGGCCAGAGGTGAGGCCCGGGGCGCGGAGCTGCCCAGGGCGCCGCGCCCGCGGAGGGCGAACCGCGGAGGGAGGGACCGGCCAACCGCAGCCGGGAGGTGGCAGGGGCAACTGCAGATCCCCGGAAAAGCCGCTCCCGAGCCAACACACCTTTCAGTGCAAACAGCAGGAAAAGTCCTGCGAGCCCTCCACTTCTCCGGGCCGGAGCCCTGGTGCGCGCTCGTCCCAAACCCGCTCTGCCCGCTTTCCGGAGAGGAACCCAGCGCACTGCAGAGCCGGACGCCCAGGGCTGGACGCCCAGCCACCGAGTCACGCCACAGGATGCAGCTACTCACCGCGCGCAAAGCGGCTGGGGGGACCCCCGCAGGGAAATTCAGGCACAACGGAGCCGGCTCCTTTTTATCGCAACTCTAAACGCTATGTCTGGTTTGTTCCAGGCTGCTAGTTAGAGGCTGTAACATCCTCCAGAGCTGGGGCCCCAAATAAAAAGCATCTATCCGCATGCCTAATAAAAGTTTTCTTAAATCGGGCCAAGCAGGCTTTTTCCCAGGTTCCGCGCTCTGACCCCATTCCCTCTGAACAAGCTTTTGGCATTGTACTTGGAGTGTGCCGACTTGACCAAGCTCCCAAACAACCTTCCTGCTCTACCTTAGCTTGGTGTGCTCAGAGGCTCGCCCCCCCCACCATCGCCCCCAGCCACCAGGTCGGTGGCAGTATGTTTTTGGGTTTATTGATATTTTAGAAAAGCGCTAGAGGTGCGGTTTCCTCGGGTTTTATATTTCAAAGCGATTTGTTCTTGGGAACAGAAATTCGTCTGAAGTATTACTAACTCGGCTCCAGGTGTCCAGCCCCATTCCTATTCATGATGTGAAGTGGGCGACCATGCACCTATCCTTGCAGAACCCACTCCTGGTACAAATCCGGTAACCTTTCAGGACGCGTGTCAGGGAAACTGGAGGTCCGGCTTTCCCAGTGGGGGTTCAAACTCCCGGGAGTGGGGAGAGCAGTCCAAGGCCCGCGCTGCCTCTTTTCCCGGTAGGAGAAGGTGCAGGGGGAGGCGGGGCCTCCCGCGATGCAGGTAGCAGCTCGCGTCCCCTGAGAGCAGGCCGAGGCCAGGGTCCCACACTCGCAGTGCTGCGACGGCGCTCGGGACCTCCCTCGTCCGCTGCTTGAGTTCCAGAGGTGGGTGCTTCCCCGTCCTGGGCTTCAGAATGCGGAGTTATAAATCGGTTGCTGCTGGTTTGCAGCAGTCTCGCTCTTCGGAGCCCGCCTAACTCCAAGCCACCCTCCCAGGCCCTCCGGCTTAGCGGGGGCAGGCACCGGGGGCGGAACGAAGCAGGGAGGGACCTGGAAAAAACACCCAGATTGCATTGCAGTGGGCGAGGCCGCCTGGAGAAGCCGGTTCCCGCTAGCCACCTCCCCGCGCGGCTCTCGGTGCGCGGTTCCCAGGTGTTCAGCTCTGCCCGGCCCAGGAGGTGCCGCCTCGCAGGGACGCGGATCCCGGTGCGTGGCCCCCGCGGGGCGTTCCAGGTAGCGCACGGCGGTCCGGAGGCTCGGCGCCAAGTAGGCGACTGTTGCTGAAAAAGTGGTTGGAACACCTGGGGAAGCCGGGCCTCGCCTGTTCTTTCTAGGGCTTTGGAGTTTGGATTAATCATTTGTGTATCCCGTTTGGATAAACCGAAGACTTTATTAAATCAGCGCGTTTACCAGGGATTCCGAAGCAGTATCCAAACTAGAATCTTGAGTCTTGGAGTTGCCCATATTTACACAGACTTGCCTTCTTCCTAACTTATGCCTAGTGTTCCATTATTGAAATGCTATGCTTGCGGGAGTTATTTACATCCAACTGCTCAAGGTCATCGCCAAGGTGTGATATTTCACACACACAAAAAAACAAGTTGCAACCTCCGGTATAAAAGGGTTAAGGAAGTCTAATCCCTGGTTTCTGTGTTTTTCTTTTGTTGTTAATTTAAAGGTGAATCTTTCCGGGTCGGGTGCGGTGGCCCACGCCTGTAATCCCAGCACTTTGGGAGGCCTACGCAAGCGAATCACAAGGTCAGGAATTCGAGACCAGCCTGAACAACATGGTAACTCCGTCTCTACTAAAATTGCAAAAATAAGCCGGTCTTGGTGGCTCCGCCTGTAATCCCAGCTACTCAGGAGGCTGGAGCAGGAGAATCGCTTGAACCCCGGAGGCGGAGATTGCAGTAAGCTGAGATGGCGAGTTGGCGCCACTGCACTCCAGCCTGGGTGACAAAGCGAGACTCCCTCCCCCAAAAAGGTTAATCTTTCCAACTAGAGTTTCAAATATGAGTATTTTTTTTTTATGTTCTTGAATTTATTCCCAGGGCTTGGAACTGAGCCTGACATATACTAGGTACTCAACAAATATTTGTTGAATGACTAGTGAGTAACACCCATTTTTGCAGCTCTTTGTCTTCTGAGCCTAGGGCAGAGTTCATTGCTGAAGAGGTGAGATTGTCAAAATGGGGGAGTCTGCAGGTGATTTAAGACTTAAATGTTTAAAGAGTAGGTGCTAATTCTTCAACAAACTTACTTTTGTTAAATTAAAAGTGTAAAATGTGGTGGTGGAGGGTTGGAATATGTGTAATTCGAACCAATTAGTTCCAAATAAAAAATGTTTTACTGTCTATCACTACCATCTACAAATCTAATTCAGTAAAGATAATCATTGTAAGGTGGCTGGAAGGAAACTTGAGGAGAAAGGCTTATTTAAGTATTTGCTCAGGACCACACCTAAAACTCTCGAAGCGTTGAGATTCTGGTTTTTTGTTGTGTTTTGTTTTTAAGCACCAAAGACCCAACTTGAAGAATAGGTTATAAAATAACTGACTTGTACTCTGACACATTAAAGCCATCAAAGACAAAGACTGAAGAAGAACTTTTGGCTATTAAAGGAGTTTTAAGAGACATGATTCTGAACCAGAAAAATAAAAAAAATTTTAAAAGTCTGGTAGATTAAATAATAGTATGATATCCGTGTTAATTTCCCATTTTTGTAATATTACTGTGGTTGGGCAGGAGAGTGTCTTTGGGGGAAGTATCTGCTGAAATATTTAGGGGTAAAGAGGAATCATGTCTGTAACTTACTCTCAAAAGCTTCAGACAAAATATATAGAGAGAAAATGATAAAGCAAATGCAATAAAATGTTAACATTGGGGAATCTGTATAAGGGAATTCTTTATGTTTCATAACTTTTCTGTAAGTCTAAAATTATTTCAAATTAAAAGAAAATTTAAGCATCAGAGGATCTTTTGCTGCTACCGCCTTGCTGGTGGTTCCCAAGGCTCTGTGTCATGACTTTGTTTTCTGTTAACTGCTTGTACTGTAGAATTAACCCACTTTCTTGGTTTTTTCCTTAGTGAATGAAAGAAGGTGAAAGAAAAGGTCACCATTTTCTGTATAGTAATCCTTTCCTATACTTTAAGTTGCTCTTAACTAACCTTTCCTAGAGTAATAACTCCAGAACTTTAAAAAGTTTTCATTGTGAATCTTACTTTCCTACTCTTTAATCAACTTCATTACCCTCCTTTACCCGTTTTCTCATCACTTTTAGAGAGCAGCTCCTGAACTGGACAGAATACAAATGTGTCTGTTGGGGCTTGACCTTTGACAGGTGGTACCTATATGTCATAATCTTTCTTTTTTTTTTGAAATTCAATTATCTTTATTTTAAAGATATAGGTAAAAATGCAGTGGCTCACTCCTGTAATCCCAGTGCTTTGGGAGGCCTAGGCAGGCGGATCACCTGAGGTGGAGAGTTGGAGACCAGCCTGGCCAACATGGTGAAACCTCATCTCTACTTAAAATACAAAAAAATTTAGCTAGGTGCGGTGGTGTGCACCTGTAGTTCCAGCTACTTGAGGAGGCTGAGGCAAGAGAATCGTTTGAACCCAGGAGGCAGAGGTTGCAGTGAACCAAAATCAGGGCACTGCACTCCAGCCTTGGCAACAGAGGGAGACTCCATCTCAAAAAAAAAAAGTGAACAGATATATTGACATAAAATTCATAAAACATGAATATATTAAAAACCAGAAAGTTTGCCTTTGAAGATAAGAATTGAGGACCTATGTATCAAGAATACTTTGCACAGTTTATACTATTACAGTATTTGAATTTACTCCTTGTATATGTATAACTTTTTTTAAAAATGAGAAATACTGGCCGGGCGCGGTGGCTCACGCCTCTAATCACAGCACTTTGGGAGGCCGAGGTGGGTGGATCATGAGGTCAAGAGATTGAGACCATCCTGGTCAACATGGTGAAATCCTGCCTCTACTAAAAATACAAAAAATTAGCTGGGCATGGTGGCATGTGCCTGTAATCCCAGCTACTCGGGAGGCTGAGGCAGGAGAATTGCCTGAACCCAGGAGGCGGACATTGTGGTGAGCCGAGATCACGCCATTGCACTCCAGCCTGGGTAACAAGAGTGAAACTGTCTCAAAAAAAAAAAAGAGAGAAATACTGTACAAGTGCAACTATTTTTACTATAAATCTTTATTTCCATAAAATAATAAGTAAGTGTGTGGTCAATAGATCCTATTATATAGCTGTGATATCCCTTGAATTTGTTTACCTGGTAACAGTAGCTCATGTTTGTAAATCCTTTAAAACTCTTAAAATGATTTTACATACATTACCTAATTTATAAGATTCCTTTAGCTTTTCTGGTTTCCTTGTCTTAATATATGATTATCATATTGAACTGCAGGTTTTTTCCCATCATGTCATATACACAAAATAGGAAACCAGTAGTTGTAATTTTCTTCAGCAGTTCTTAATGGAATTTATTTAATAGTTTAGCACTTTTCTTTCTTGAGGATTATACCAAACTGTAATGGAATTGTAAGGCTCATGCTTTCAGAACAGAGCCTTCTATTACTCATGTGTTTATCTTGCTGGCCATTTGACCATGTAAAGTTCCACGATGTATGTCATAATCTTATTACTTGCAATGCAGTTTCCTTATAAGACTACATAGCAGCACGACACACTGACTCCAGGTTCATTTGAGATCTCTAGATCTTTCTTAGTGTTCTTAGTTGCACATACTTAGTTGTTCTCTTGTACTTATAAGAAAATCTTGCAGGCTAGGTGTAGTAGCTCACACCTATAATCCCAGCACTTTGGGAGGCTAAGGTGGGCAGATTATTTGAGGTCAGGAATTCGAGACCAGGCTGGCCAATGTGGTAAAACCCCGTCTCTACTGAAAATACAAAAATTAGCTGGGAGTGGTTGCAGATGCCTGTAATTCCAGCTACTCAGAAGGCTGAGGCATGATAATCACTTGAACCTGAGAGGCAGAGGTTGCAGTGAGCCGAGATTGGGCCACTGCACTCTAGTCTGGGCAACAGCAAGACTCCATTTCAAAAAAAAAAAAAAATTACAGTGAATCAAAGTATGAGAAAATGTTCTCAGATTATATAGTGGTAATGCTTGCACAAATCTAGATGTACTAAAAACCACTGAATTTTATATTTTGAAATGGTGAATATTATGGAATATAAATTATATTTCAATTTTTAAAAGCAAATCAAAATAGAAACCAAAAGCCACTGATATTTCTTAGTTTTTCATACTAGATGCCTGTAAAAGAGACCACATTTTATACTGCCTGGACAAGTCCAGCCTCTGAAGTGGAAAGGTAAGGAGAAGTGATGGTCAAGATAAATTATGATTTTCCATTACTCTGTGCATTACACATTTAAACAAATTACTGGCCTGAACCTTTATTATAGCGATTATTACAGACCATGAGAAAAAGTATGGGTTTAATAGTTGGCCCTGCCATTTGCTACCTTCCAGCCTTGGGTATGTGTCTTAACCTCACAAGGACTCCGTTTCTACCTGTAAAGATGGAGATGTTGATGATGTACACTTCACAGGTTTTAAGGGGAGAGATTTTGTGTAGAAAAGCTTCCCTATGGAAAACAAACCTGAGAACCAGGAAGTTTACTACTGCAGAGGAATCTCCAAATGAGGAACGGTCTTTTGAGACAACCGCAAAGGGTGATGATTCTCTAGCCTTAGTGTAGACAAACGACGCCATTGAGGCATTTGAGTGGGACTTTAATGATTGCTATGTCAGAGGGAAACACACAAAAAAATACAGATAGGGAAATGTGCCATTAATCTGCACAGCATACTTATAAGATACACCTGATCTTTGAGGATCACAGAGCTGATCCCATTTAACTGGGCATCCAAGTAAAAGAGATGCCACCAAGAGAATTCCTCCCTCCTTAGTCCTGGCCTTTTGCCATCAAGGTATCGGTTACTCCCACCCCCTCCCCCCAGCCCTTTACCCAGGAGTATGTCCCTGCCTCTTCCAAAACCCAGAGAGAGGAAAACACAGCTGCACGCCTTATCTTTTAAGTCAAGGTGGGGTGGACAGGGGTGGATGTTTAAAGAAGAAAAGGAAGTATTGTTTCTCTTATTCCCTAAGGCCCTGTGTATCCCTGTAGTCTGCCTACTCACCTACCCATTTGGCTGAAAAAGGGCCGGTTTTATTATTCTGTCAAAATGTAACCCAAAGACCAGGAAATAGTTGTCACCCTGTTTATATCTGAAGTGTCTGAAATGGCTGGGTGCGGTGGCTCATGCCTGTAATCCCAGCACTTTGGGAAGCCAAGGAGGGCAGGTCACCTGAGGTTAGGAGTTTAAGACCAGCCTGCCCAACATGGTGAAACCCGTCTCTACTAAAAATACAAAAGTTAGCTGGGCAGGCACACACCTGTAGTCTCACCTACCCTGGAGGCTGAGGCAGGAGAATCTCTTGAACTTGGGAGGCAGAGGTTGCAGTGAGCTGGGATTGCACCACTGCATTCCAGCCTGGGCAACAGAGCAAGACTCCATCTCAAAAAAAAAAAAAAAAAAAAGGGTGAAATGTTGTTAAAGTGAGATAGTATACTTGGCAGTAACTGCTGTTTGGAAAGAGTGAAGGTAATTGTTATGATAAGCCTATATCCCGTCATAACATGAATGGCATGACATGAATGCATGTCAGTGCATTCTTACCTATAGACTTGCAGGTGACTTTAAGTCTGTACAAACTGTCAGACCTTGTGGGTATAGTTGTTTATTTAACAAATACCTATTGGCACCATACTATGTGCCAGGCAAGGTTTTCGGCATTGGAAATACAAAATGGTCCTTGCCGTTATTGAGTAGGGAGACAACTAGTCACAAAAACAAAGGTGTCTTTACAAATAGTGGTGAGTGTTCTTAAGATTCACCATGCTCTGCGATTGCACAACAGAGGGACGTAAACTCCACTAGAGAGGGTTCACTGAGAAGTAACACTTGAGTTACAATCCACAAGTAGGGGTGAAATAACCAAAGAGGTAGGAGCAGGTAGGGAAGAAGCAAAGAGCCTTCTTGGCTCTTTGTGTGTGCAAAAATCAGTGGTGGGAGGGCATGTGGCAGAAAACGAGGGAAAAGGCCCAGGGATGGAAGATGCTGGAGGAGGTGAGACCTTAGGAGTCGCTCTTGACTTCTCCCTGTGTCACGTTGGTCACCAAGTCCCAGAAAATTGTCCCCAGTGATAGACATTTCCCAGAACTGTGGAATCTTTTACCTAAGCTGCTACAACTGTCCTACACAGTATGCAGTAATCTTTCCCAAGTGTACAGTGGTTCTTAGATTTTAATTTTACAAAAAGAAACATTTTTTTTAAAATTACCATTTATTGTCCATTTCATAAAATAAATGCTATTTTTAACACACACACACACACACAAGATAAATTTGAAGCTGGGCACGGTGGCTCACACCTGTAATCCCAGCACTTTGGAAGACTGAGGTGGGTGAATGGCTTGCGCTCAGGAGTTAGAGACCAGCCTGCAGAATATGGAGAATCCCCGTCTACAAAAAATACAAAAATTGGCCAGGCACGGTGGCTCACGCCTGTAATCCCAGCACTTTGGGAGGCTGAGGCAGGTGGATCACAAGATCAGGAGATCGAGACCATCCTGGCTAACATGGTGAAACCCCGTTTCTCTGAAAGATAAAAAAAAAAATTAGTCGTGTGTGGTGGCAGGCGCCTGTAGTCCCAACTACTTGAGAGCCTGAGGCAGGTAGGCAGGAGAATCGCTTGAACCCAGAAGGCAGAGGTTGCAGTGAGCTGAGATCTCGCCATTGCACTCCAGCCTGGGTGACAGAGTGAGACTCTTTCTTAAAAAAAAAAAAAAAAAAGCCCAGGTATGGCAGCACATACTTGTAGTCCCAGCTACTAGGAAGGATGAGT